GGAGCAAAATAGTTTATATTTATTTTTGTCTAAAGCGATTTTTTGAGTCTAGTTGATACACTAACGCGATTCGGTTTAGGGTAATTTGACCTTACTTAAGATTCTTATTATTAATATTAATGGTTTTTAAAATGATTTATCTAATTACATTTTTAATTTATAGAAAAAAAGTGTAGAAAATATTAAAGGTAATATTTTATTCGTATAATTAAATAAAGCCTCTTTTAAGAAAAAAAAATCATATAGGTGGAAATATTCTAGATACAACAAGAGCTATTAGTTTTGTGGTTATTATGTGCTACGTGATATAGTGTGATTTCTTGGTGTAGATGGTTATCACGTCTGTCTAACACACAGACGGTCGCCGGTTCGAGTCCGGCAGAAATCAGTTGTCGGTTTGTCCGAGTGGTTAAGGAGACAGATTAGAAATCTGTTGGGCTCTGCCTGCACATGGTTCAAATCCTGTAGCCGACGTGCCCGGCTAGCTCAATCGGTAGAGCGTGAGACTCTTAATCTCAAGGCTGCGGGTTCGACCCCCGCGTTGGGCTTACTTTTTAATAGTTACTATTTTATTTAAAAATCTAAAAATTAATATATTACTTTAAGACCAAACATATAAGGTAATAATGCATCCGGTATTTTGACTGAACCATCTTTTTGTTGGTATGTTTCTATAATAGCAGCTACCATTCTTGGAATGGCACACGCAGTTGCATTTAGTGAATGAGCAAATTGAGTTGGTTTAGCACCTTTAAGTATTTCACTTTTATCAGATCTAAATCTTATATCTAATCGACGTGACTGGTAATCTGTGCAGTTAGAGGCACTTGAAACTTCACCCCAGCTACCTCTACCAGGCATGTAAACTTCAATATCAAATTTCCTACTAGCGCTAGCGCCTAGTTCAGCGGTTGGCATATCGAGAATTCTATAAGTTAGACCCAAATCTTTACAGATAGATCTTTGAAAAGAGATTAAAAAATCAAGAGCATCGTCACTATCTTGTGGAGTTGTTAGTATAACCAATTCAACTTTACTAAACTGGTGTAGCCTATATAAACCGCGAGTATCACGACCGCGAGATCCAGCTTCAGATCTAAAACAGTGACTAAGACCTACAAGACCAATTGGTAGTTGTGTGTCACTAATTTTTTCAAGTTTTTTAAGTTTGTTAATGTCTATATTGGAGCTATTACAATGTTTATCAGTATGGTTAGAATAATTTGGCAGATCTATATTTATAATAGGATTAGCCCATTGCGCATACTCGGCAAATTTTTTTCCATTACCAAACCAACCATATTTTGGCTCAGTATAATTTGATTGATTATTTTCAGCGGTTTCCGATTTTAAATTACGAGATTTTGCATAAAGAATTTGTTCGCTATACATTGCAGTTAAGGGGATTTCAGCAGTTGCTATAAGACATAAAGGATCATCATAGTCTTTGAGCTCTTCTTTAGCAACTGGTGCTACGCGATAAATTTGACTTGGTTCTGGGGGAGTATGTTCTACTGAATCATTTGTATTATTTTGGGTATTGTGATCTGTTTCAGTATTAGAATTATGGGTTGATCGCGGTCTAAACCCACATCCATCAACAATAGAAGATCTAACCAATTCAGGTGTGGTATATGGAATAAAACCAAATTCCATAGCAGATTTCATTGTATATTGAATCAAACCAAGCTCGAGCAATACACCAGCTCGCTTCCAATAATGGAATCTACTCCCAGAAACTTTAGCAGCAGACTGAAAATCAGCAATACCTAAAGATTCGCAAAGATCCGCATTATCTTTATATTCCAATGAAGAATATGCTTTTGGTACAGCATCAACAGCATCATTTTTATTGGATATACTTAAAAGATTTCCAAAGCTCTCAACAACTATAGCTTTAGTTTCATCACCTACTGGGGCTAACGGATGACTTGTATTTGGAATTTTCACAGCTTCATTAATCAGCTGTTCTTCAACTAGAAGCAATTGCGCATTTTTTTCTTTTATAAGTATTTTGATAGTTTTTGCTTCTTCCTGTAGCAAATTTTTACAAGTAGAGTTGTATGGAATTTCACTCACCGGCGTAGACATAAGCGAAGGCGAATCTTTTGTGTTCGAGTAGTTTTTTGTAGCCGCACAAGAAGAACTAGCTTTGCTCAGTTTTCTAGAAATTGAATTGAGATTTCCACGCAAATTATTAATTTCAAGCTTTAGACCACAAAGCTGCTTATAAAGGCTTCCAGCTAAAGCCGGATTACAATCATAAACTCTACGGTTTTTAGCGTTTATTGTAATTTTCTCTGATTCTGTTAATAGAATTTTATAATCATAAGCTAGTTTTTGCCTTGTAGAAGCTATAGAGGAAGAAAACATGCATACTGAAATTCTGTCTAAAAAAATCAAACAAAAATATTGTATATTGTATAATTTTTACTGCTAAAGTCTGTAATCGCAAAGTTAAAGAATTTAATAAAAAAGCAACAGTTACTTATTAGAGTACTTGGTTTATTGTGATTAATTAAGAAATGTTTAGCTCTCACGACTGTAGATAACCGTATAGAAAAACAAGGCATTTTTAGGAGTATAACTAAAAGAGGGATTTCTAATACTAAGTAGAATCAGGAATATAAGTAGCAACTTTGCATATGTAAATAGATAACTGTATGTGTAGTTAAAGACTTGTATTGGTTGTTTTTTTAACAGATAGGTTGTATCTGATAAAACATAAATAGTAATTAAACGAATATAAACGCCAATTTAGGTTTAAACATGAAATCATTTCTGGAATATCTTTGATCAAATTTTAAAACTGTTAGATTGATATTAAAAGCACCAATAATTTGCAGTGATGCCAGAAGACTATAAA